CAGGCGCCCGCCACAACGCCCGGCTATTTTTTGGTTGCAGCCGTCATTGTTGTTTTGGCGGTCCGGGCTGGGGATTCGAACCTGCCACCTTAGGTTAGCCGGTTGAGCTATAGGCGCCGAGCCATCAGGCTCGTCTCTTAACTTCTGAGCCCAAGGGATCCTCCTGCCTCATCCTCTAGAGCAGTGGTTCTCAACCGATGGGTCGCAACCCACAGGAACTATATTAAAAGGCCATGGCATTAGGAAGGTTAAGAACCACTGCTCTAGAGTGCTGGAATTATAGGCATGAGCCACTGTACCCAGCCCAGGATGGCTTTTTTTTGAGACAGAGTCTTATGTTGCTGGAGGCTGAGGTGGCTCAGTAGGGTGCTATGGCATCTCAATTCAAAGCAACCTCAAACTCTTGGGCTTAAGGGATTCTCTTGCCCCAGCTTCCTAAGTAGCTGGGACTACAGTTGCCTGCCACAACGCCAGGCTTTTTTTCTTTGTTGCAGTTGTCATGTTTTAGCTGGCCCTGGCTGGGTTCGAACCCACCAGCCTTGGTGTATGTGGCTGACGCCCTACCGACTGAGCTACGGGCCCCGCCTAAAATTATTCTTACAATGGATTTCTGTGATGCACTTTTGTCTATCTTATCTAATTGAAATTGGGCTTTTTTTCATAAAGGTACATAAAGAGACAATAGATGCTGTACCAAATGCAATACCTGGGAGAACAGACATAGAGTTGGAAATATATGGTATGGAAGGTATACCAGAAAAAGATATGGATGAAAGAAGACGACTTCTTGAACAGAAGACACAAGGTAAACATTAAGATGTATATTTTTTTTCAGAGTCACTTTAGTGGCAGTTACTATTTCCAACTATGAATATAATGGTAGGTGATAGAATTTTCCAATAGTCTCAGTTATTTTTCTAAGAGACAGGGTCAATGTCACCTAGGCCAGACCATACGTCACTGTAACTTTGAATTCCTAGGCTGAGTCTCCTAAGTAGCTAGGACTGCAAGTATTAGAGATGAGGTCTTCCCATGTTGCCCAGGCTGGTCTTCGACACCTGGCCTCAAGCTTTCCTCTCACCTCAGTCTCTCAGGCATGAGCCACTGTACCCAGCCCAGAATTCTCAATTTTGAGTTCTGTTTTTTCTTTTGCCTTTTTTTAGGGTATAAAAATATATCCTAATAATATATCCTATTAGCGGGAACTCTGAGATTGGGAGGAAGTGATGGTAATGACAGAAGAGAATAGAAAGCAGGGAGTGGCTTGGCACCTGTGGCTCAAGTGGCTAAGGCACCAGCCACGTACACCCAAGGTGGCGGGTT